AAAAAAAAAATGGGGGGGTTTTTGGTTTTAAAAAAAAAAAAAAAAAAAAAAAAAAAAAAAAAAAAAAAAAAAAACAAAAACAGAAAAAACAAAACAGAAGATTTCAGGAGGTCCTGACCTGCTTCTCTGCATGTTCTGCAGGCCACCCCTGCACATGTTTAATAAGGTTCTCATTAAAGTGGGTGGCCAGCGTGGGAGTCAGGGAGCAGGAGGGCCGCACTGCCGAGGCGCCGGGGGGAGCCGAGGCCGCGTTGGAGGCGTTGCTGCCGGAGCTGACGTGGTTGGGTCCAGGAGAGGGACTCCTCTGACTGCTGCGGTTCACAAGAGAAAACGGAAAACGTTTATGAAAAAAATGTCTCCCTCAAAACCTCCTGCAGGTTTTATTCAGAAAACAAAGTTTTCATTAAGTTTCGGGAGGAGATTTCTGCTAAGTACTGAAGATAAGAACTTGATTTGCTGTTCACACACAATCTGAAATTACCAAAGAGGGAAAAGTTGTGGGTTATAAAAAAAAGATCCTTTTACTGCAAACTGCATAGTTTGATGCTGTGGAATAGGGAGAACTGCTACATTATCAACAATTTAAAATTTAACGTAAAAGTCTGCTTTTGTTTTTCATATTTTAACTTCAAAGATCAAAGTAAAATCCTCTGCTCCTTTTTTAAAACCACGGTTTCTGCAGATTTCTCACTTTAAAATTTGTTTTAGAAAACTAATTTCTAAAACCATCTGTCAGATTTTAAAATTCTGCAAATGTATGTAGTTGGCTTCAGAGATGAAGTTAAAAAACCCCCCAACAATTTAACATTTCATATTTGAACAAAGATTAGAGCCACTATAAAATCCAGACCTGAAATCCTGTTTGTAGTTTCTGATCTTTTGGTTTCTTTGTAAAAGTTCAAAGTCATATAAGAATCAAAGCTTTGATGATCGTCTAAGCTTCAGAACTTCAAACCGATTTAAAACCCTGATCTGTGAGAATGTAGAAGCAAAAAAGGCAGAAGAACTGTCCTTTTGTAAAAATTTCTGATTTGGAGTATATTAACTGCTACATTTTATCAGTAACTCATATACACATGTAGAATTAAAGATGAGTCAACATGTTATTTAAAACACTGTAAAATGTCCCCTTAGGAGAGAAACAGATCTAAAGCTCTTTCCAGATTCATGGGCAGCAACAATCTTTATTTGTACATTCAAAATATATCTAGAAAAATGGCACAGTTTGATTCTTTGGCTTTAGAAATAGTTTAGAAGATTCATGTGGAGCTAGAGAGTGAAATAATTCAGCACAGACGATGTAAAGTGCAGGCAGCAGGCTGCTACTGTGGAGCAGGTCAGCTCATGCAAAGACGGCAAACACAGCGATGTTACACTCTGATGAACCAGGTTTCTGCTAGTATCACTCAGCACAACTACAGCTTTAAGAACAAACATCTATGCATTTAGAAATGTCTCTGCATGAGAAAACTATGCTTTCAGCTCTGAAGCTAGAAACAAAGTAAACAAAACTAAAAAATAGAGTTAATAAA